CTGCCCTGACCTGCGTTTGTTGCTATGCGCAGTATCGAAAAGCTTGGCCGTCAGCAAAGTGCAAATAATCTGACCGCACCCGAGCTGTTCATCATATTCTGCGCTGCCCATGGAATGTGGAGGTCTTCCAATTCAACCGATCACCATAAGAAAGAGGAAAGGTGACAGTAAGTAGTCTTTTCTGACACCGGTATTCACACTGTATACATCTGCAAGAGTCCTCCCCTGAACAACTTCGGGGTATAGTTTGTCGTGAGAATTCGGTGACAGTCTTAGGTGCGACATATTGCGGAGAAAGGTCCCATAATGTTCTTCTCATGAAGAAAGAGGATGCACTGTGATGTGTCCCATTCTATTGACTGTTCAACCATGATCTACTGTTTGGAGATGTCATTGGCACACGAGATCCCCATGGAATCCAACCAGTTGGTTTAGACGTTCAAGAGGTCTATAAATACTGTTTTGAACTCCGTTGGGTTTAGTGAGGCTATTCTATTCAAGAGCTCTTCGAAGTTTTCTATACATCTGTTCCTCCGCTCTTGAATATCAGTGGTTGACTGTCATTGTTTGTTTCTGACTGTGCATTCTGATTCACCACAATTCCTGCTACCTCCATTGTATCATATAGTTGTCCTACGTTTCATTCTCCTGAAGCTTTTTCTGTCTATGTTGCCAGGTCTTCTACATATTTACGCTTACCACCTATGATACCTCTCATCAAATTAGTATCTGCTCCTGTGTATTAGACGTGTTTAAATTTTCTTGCTATCGTTGGACTGCTATTGATTCATGTCTTCATGTTCTTCCTTTCCTGAATCGTGATTTTCACCTTATTCTGATGCTAATTGTGGCCCAGAATCTGCTGATATGTTGAAACCGATGTTTCTGTAGTCGCTCTGCTACTGTCTGCTATAAAGAATTCCTCTTCCCTGAGTAGATCTTGTAAGGGTTGGAATCTGTTACTGAAAGCTATCTTGAATTTGTTGAGTTCGTTGTTATCTCGAAAGAAGGCTGTATTAAACTTTCTCTAGTTGTCCAGTGTTTCGGTAAGTTCAATTTGATATTGGACACCAGCAAGTGGAGATCTGAATATATTTCCACATCCTTCTTTGTTTTCAAGCCTTCAAGGGACATCCCGTACCTTTTACTATTCGAAATCTGATAACTCCGGTTCTCTGTAGTGTGATCCAGTGAAATCCATGTGGCTTCGTGTATGTGATTCTGATAGAAAATAATGTCCTCTTTCACTATTTTCTTCAAAGCACACAGGTTCTCAAGTCGTTTGCTATTTTCGTTCCTTTCTCCCAGCCCATTTTGTATCATGAAGCTAACCTTTTCCGTTCAGACTGAGTTCAACAGGCTACAGTTGTTCTCGTCACCACCAATTTGTACCTTTCTAGTTCTATAGGTATATATTATTTTTATTTCTGGTTCTATAGATATTGGGCCAGTTCTTCACGTCTCCTGTAAATTTTATGTACCCACATCAATTCTTGCTCTGATTGTCAGAAGAGACATCTACCTAGTGATTTCTGGAGGCTCTTGGCCTTCGACACGAAGCGTCATAGCTTCACTAAAAAATGACTCTTCGACTTCAGGGAAGGAATAAGCGTTTTTAGTAAAGTGATTTTCCGCGGTATAGGGTTGTTTACTCTATATCCAACCCTTCTACTTTGTTCAGATTTGGGACAGGCAAAATCTAGGGAGGGCTCTATGTGAAGTTAAACGATTTTTGATACACCTGTTTCTGTCAAAGACTGAACTTGGTCACTTTATATGTTTAACCTACGTCCCTCAGTTCTACTACTGTTTTTCGGCTGTCTCTTAGTTTCTAGAGAGCGAGAGACTTTGTCGGTAAAGTTTATGATGAATTTGTTTGTATAGTTAGTGCAGAGGATAGTACTTTGATGTGTTCAAATGTATAATTAGGAAGTTCCTATGTGGTTGGGAGATTTAACAAGTCTTGTCATATCTTGGTTTGAAGGATCAAAACTTGTAATGCATTTATACTCGGACATCCTTCGAAGTTCGAAAATTAGGATAAAACAGTAGTAAATAAAGATCATTTGGAAGATCTGTGGTGGTATCGGTTCCTAACCACACGATCCTCGAAGAGGAATATAAGACAAATAAAAAAATTCATATTCAACACCAAACATGGAGAGAAGGTCAGAGATGGTAAACGCGGGAACACCTGGTCGGTACGACATGACTCAGACTTGCCAGCATGGTGACTCCGTGTAATTCATACGTTTCCACACTATATATATATTACTTTATCCACAACCGAAATAAGTTCTTCAGGAGTACTAGATTCCATATTGCGAATTGGCACGACACGGCGAGCCACTATAAATAATGTTATGAGCTTCACGTAACATCTGGTAGATTAGATAATCATATCATGAAAAATCTGCAATTTCGGATTAGGTATACTGTTGTGGCGAAAAAGCTGACCGACCTCACGAAATAAAAAACACTTGCGTATGAACTTGTATACGAATAACGAAAATTCGAAGATTGCACAAGCACCGCCATTTCCCGCTAAACATGCAATTCGATTTTTAATGAGAAAACTACAATCGTATATGCGCATACACAAGCAAACTACACATGCATATCTTTGGTACTCCATGAAATTGAAAACATTTGTATCGATTTCTGCATGTACATGAGACATTTTTTAATTTATAGCAAAATCGTTAGTTAGCTAAGTGTAGAGCCCAACCATTTCAGTAAAACATTCTCTTGGTTCACTTGTCAATGAAAAAGTATTAAAAACTTGCTGTCGTGCGCTACAGTCCGAAAATATAATAGTATGATATTAAGGACATACGTTGTCTTGAACTCTAGTTGTAATGTCTCCAAAATAACAGAAAATTGTTGATTGGCTCCTGCATGACTTTGACTGCTACTAACCTGCCTGTGGTTGCTCCAACTCTCATACTTTCCACATCGTTTAGCATCGTTTTCTTTTAATTCTATGTCTTCACATGATCTATTGAATACTGCGATGATGAACGCTAAAGAACCGGCATCAAAATTTCATTTTCTTCAGATGGCAATAGGTCATAAACCATCTGTAAATCATGGTACGGACAATTGTGGATCGTTTTACAAGAAAGTAATGAATATCCTACTGAATAAAAAGACACACGAAATATTTAGCATATTTTTAAGAAAAAATGAACTTAAAATGGTACGATCTAAGTATTCCAAAACGAGAAATTCGTATTGACTTACACATTTCAGATACATAATGACGCCTGTGAATCAAATCACTAAAGAACTTTGAAACGAATGAGAATGAAATATGACCCTAACCTACCTTCTCATTCCTCGGGATAGGCTCACGTTACAATGTATCCACACACTATGTATCTCTGTTCTCTTTGTGATTAAATAAACAATTTATTGGATAAGGTTCTTTTTATCTCATACACAGCCAAAGAAGCTGCACTAAGTGGCCACTACAAAAGGGCATAAATGACTGTGGATTTGAGGTATGATAGGTGGTCACACTATCTCTCTTTGGCTCAAGTAGACCTACCATACCCAGTTACAGTACTGAAACTCATTTGAAAGAGGTAGTTAGACATGTGTTATGTATCTTCGACCACTATCTAGCTTGACGAACGATGGCCGGTGAAGGGGAAGTTAGACACAGGCAAGGGCTGAACAAATATGCATCAACAGTCTAAAGAGTTTGTGACTGCTAGACTGAGCCATGTTAGCAGACTCAGGCTTATTTGGGGTCTGCGTTGTTATCGTAACCAGCTGTCGCGGATTTTCTTAAAATGACTCAGTATCGTTCGTATTCGCATGAATGAATTCAGTCTTTCTGTTTTTTAAGATCCTGAAATTTTTGTTCTACTAGTCCATATTTTCTTCTACAACCATCTATTTGTAATTTATTTTTTCTTTTAACACTAATTCTGTTGATAATCTTACTAATCTTGTATATCACTATGTAAATGTTATATATCAGCTTAAACTCATCCATGTATATGTCAGGTTCTACGTTCTGTGGGAATGGCTGGCTAGGTCGGCTAACTTCAGATCCTAATCGTGAATGGTGTTCTCACATGCAATACAATTTTTCACCATAATTGTTATGACCAATCGATTTGCCACCAAGTAACAGGATAACAGCTACTTCCAGTAACCTTACCAGTAACTTCACTTTATTTCAGGCCATGGAATGTCCTAGTAAGGTCAGTATTGAAGCCTCCTCTTTTCTTGATTTATATAAATAATTTTCCACAACAGGTATCGTCTGCCTTATTACTTTTCGACGACGATGCGAAAATTTGGAGAGGGAGAGAAATACGCAACCATGAGAATATACTGGCACCTCTGGAGGATCTGACTCGGCTTCAAAGTTGGGGAGATGGTGATGGATTTGCGTTTAACACTTTAAAGTGTAAAGAAGTCCATTTGAGACAAGTTGCGGACAACAGATACAACGTAGGAAACTACTGTACAGAAGTCTCTCAAGTTGAAAAAGGTTTAGGAGTGCTGGTACCCTACGGTTTGAAGTTTTAATTTAACTGTTACAAAAATGTCTTTCGGGCAAAAATTGTACTGGTCACATTGAGCTAGTCAAAGCGATTACATAGGAGCCCTTTAAGAGGAAACCTGACCTATACTTAAGGACTTAGGATAATATCTCACTATGATTTACCCATTTCTTTTTCCTCTATCATCATTAATATGCTAAGGTTCCTGCCTGGAGATATTGGTGATCCACCGCTACTAGACACAGAAGCCGATTAAACGAAAGCTTCTTCTATTCCATCCACAACCATTTGAACTTAGGTAAACATATATTCTTTAACACCAGACACAATACTGAAATAAACATTGAAAATACTTGAATTATTACACTTAGTGAATTCACAACACCCACTGGACAATTTGAGGATCCAGAACACCGCCTTATCCTCAAATACATAATACCAGTTTGTGGGAAAGATATTGAATATTGAGAAACATTAGCACGGATCCTAGCACCAAAAGCACAACAATTTCGAAAATGGCACATGACGCACAAATTCTTCAGCAGCACAACATCGAACTTGTAAAACGTAATATAAATTTTCTGAATGCTTGATATGGTTAAGTGATAGAAGATTTGTGTCAGAAAAGAGATCAGTTACAAAAAGCAATTATTGAGGAAGATGATGAAAAAAACCGTCTACAGCATGACATGAGGATTATTTCGGAGAAACTTGCGAAAATAAATGATTCACTAAGCAAGAAGCTAGTCGTTCGGAATTCTTATGATAAGGCGATTGCCGAATCACAACAAGCCTACTCGAAAGTATTATGTACTCATAATACGTATGAATTTTATAGCTATTAGAAAACTCTTATGGGTTGTTGAATGTCTTGAAATGCAATCAAGAAAAAATAAAAGATAAGTTCGCTAAAACCTATAATTCCTAATATCTAAAGATAAGACTCGATTGCTACTATCTAAGCTTACAAACGGTTCTTTAAGCCGATCAATTCCTTACAGTATATTAAAATGCAGATACACATAGATTATCTGGTTCATTGTCTACAAAATAATATCTGAGACATTTTTTATTCATCCCCATAGACCATATCTCTGTAACAGAGTATTTGTATCAAACAGTTAGTCTTCAGTTTGCATTAAAATAACTAATGTTTGTCAATTCGTCTTGTTATTTATTTTTACTATTCAAAGGTCTAGGTGATCTATGTTTTAGACAAGTGACCTCATCTGGCCTATGTCAGAAACAATTTAATAAAGTAGAAGCTCACAACGCATTGACTTTGTCGACGACAACAAGGATCCGGACCGTCTAAGTGCTACATATTATAACCATTAATTCAGGTCAACTGGGCTATTATCTTCATTCTAAGAGAGTGATCACACACATCAAAGTAACTAAAACGATGCATAATCAGTAGCCCGAAATTAGCTCTGGTCTTAGAATGTTCAATGTGTATCTGCAATTATTCATCCATCTTTAAATCTCCGATAAATAACAATCTAAATAAGAAGTTAATTGACCGTCAAAGATTACTTGCTTTATCAATTATGATTGCCTGGTTTGACTACATCAAGAATTTATCTGATCACAAACTTTATGCGTTGATCAGCAGAAATTAGTAACCTTAATAATGCTCAAGTAAGCATGACGTTTTCGGTAAGAATATGAATAATTACGCCAATATATGGGGATGTCGAGAGCGAGAAGCACTTGTCAGTTCAGAAATTTGGTTTTCACGACCACGACTGTGTTTGAAGTGTGGATATCATTAAAGCAGTTTTTCACTATATTTTTACTCACAATAAATCATGGTATTTCACTCATGTTGACCAAAGAACACATGTCAACTAGCGTACGTAATATCTTCAAGTGCAGTTATATAAAAACCTAGTTGTTTTCTGTTTGTTTGTAGACACCAAGAGGGCTTTACCCCACACTTGTTCTTCGTGCAGCAATACAAAGGAAATTTAACTAACTTAGAAAAACAACTACGGAGGAATAATAATAAGGCACTGATTTAGTTTTAGGGTTTATTGCTTTAAAGCAGGTAGTCCAAACACACGAGATACTATGATAGAGAATAGGTGACACCTCGTACCAACGAACACGAAGGACAAAAGTTGCCAGGTGCAGTTTCGGTGGTTTGTGTTCCCATACAGTAATCAGTATCACCCATTTACTTTAGATAGGATATGTTCATCACAAACTCTGTAAGGGCTGTTCTCAAAATGATACAGATAAAAGCTGGGCAACACTGTGTAATCGCTGTCAGTTTGTAACAATGAAGAGAAGGGTATGTATATTGCCATCTTCCCAAAAAAAGTTTTGTAGACGAATTCTCCAGATAATCACACTTCTGTGGTAGACAACTTTAAGATAGTACTGCGCAACAAATCGGAAATAGCTACAAAGTCCGAAATACTGTTATTGAACTTCAATAACCATTACAGTCCTCAGTCATTTAGAGATGAAAATGTAATAAACATATTTACCCCTCTTCCACATAAGTATACCTACTAATTAGTGGACATAAGATGAGAAGTCAAACTTTAGGTGTGAGGAAGTGGCAGAAATACAGCCTGACAACTGTGAAATAGTGAGCAGACTCATATTTAAAATATTCTTTTGATCCGCAGCAAAAAAACCACATTCGGCCTGCATCATATTTTCATATGAACCAAATAGTTAAATGATCACGATAATTTACTCAGTATCACAGATACAATTTACAAAAGAAATCTTCAGTTGGTATGTATTGTAAACCGATGGTTTCCACTGTACTAAGAAATATGAAAACGGTGTGAAATCACATAAAGCTGTCTTTAATACAAAACTGATCCTGTTACACTTGAGCAATCCTTTATGTGTGTTTAAAGTCAGGTAATGCTTGCATTCTTCAGATACTGGAATCTGGAAGTAAGCTTCTGGAAAGTCTAACTATTCGAAGTACTTTTCCCTATTTAGTTTAGCGAATAAGTCTTCTGGTAAGGGCGAAGAGTACTGGTGAGCTTCTAGTGCTTCGTATAGTCCTGTCGAATAACCTGCACATAGTCGGATGCTCCCATAAGGGTATCCCTGTTTACACTGGACCGTCCGCAACGATGAGCAACTGCACTGCTGGGCTATGATCTCAAGATAAAGTGTCAACCGACAACGGATTTCGGACAGACATATGCTCTTTTAAGATTAATTGGCTCCTATACGAAACAAAAGCTGCTTGTAGAAGCTGAGGCTGAAGTTCACAAAGTTGACAGACGCGGTTATGGGACTGCTGGTCACGTTCGAAGCCATTAAAGCTAGTGAAAATGATAATACACTGAGGACCGTTCGCCGTTGTATACTTAACTAGTGACGTTCACTTCGACGAGACTTTCTGAGAACTGTCGAGTTGTGCACCATGTTTGGCCATCGTATTGTTATTCTCAGAATTATTCGACAGCAAGTTCTAAAACAGTTCCACAGTGGGCACCGGGAATAAGTAAGATGAAGTCACTGACTCAGAGTTACGCATACTGGCCGTCAATGGACTGTGATATAGAACAAAAGTGTCGTAGCTGTTGGTCCTGTCTGTAAGTCGCAAAGAATCCCATGGCCGAAACCAGACAGGCCTTGGCAAAGAATACACGCTAATTTCGCCAATCCAATACACGGCATAAACTAGTTGGTTGTTATGGATGCTTTCACGAAGTGGCCGGAATTATACGATATGCCGAACGTGACGTCAGAGGACACAACAGATTGTCAAGTTTTTTTTAAAGATTTTCTAGAGATCTTAATAAATGGCACTCAGTTCAAGTCATCCTCTTTCAAACGGTTCTGCAGTGAAAATGGGATTACGCATCACGGTCTCCGTATCACCCGTAATCGAATGACTAAGTAGAAAGATTCGTGGGTACGATAAAAAGGACTCTGATAAAATGGAGATAAGGTATTCTAGTTCGTGTCTTACAAAGTCACACCCAATCTGAAAGTGCCGGGAAGTTCGGACAGCCTTTATTATGTTGCCACCCAGGACGACAAATAAACTCACAAACGAATATTAGACGGTCAATCGCAGCTTCCAGATGGGCGAAAGGGTACTTATCAAGGTAATAGAAAGTGGGAACCGGGTGTTATTGAATGTCAGGTTGAAAAAATGCTGTACTTAGTTCGCATAAGTTTCGGGACCTCTATAAGACGTGTCAATTAAATCTAAAGGGATAGTAGATTAACGATTACACAAAGATGACGTTTCAAATGCATGTGCACTTATTTAAAAAAGACCTGAGGAGAACAAAAGCCGAAGACATAGGTGACGAATGGACAAAACATTACAACCTTCAAGAGGAGTGTGATTGAGAAGTCTCAAGTGAACCCAAGCGGAAAGTCTTACATAAGACACTTTAAAGAGCGGAGGTGTGGAAACGGCTCCCGGTGAACTCAAGTTCCGAAAGAACCGAAGACAGTCTATCTAATCATCGTTCAGAAGAGCATTCCAGAATCTCGACGTGTAGCTTCCTCATTAGACAAATGCTAAAAACCACTTTGTGTGGATTGGATGATTGTTATGATGATTTCATTTTACTAAAAGCTATGAATACCCAAGTGTTTTTGTACCATATTTGACAGTGATTGGAATGAGATTTCTTTCCACTGGTTTTCTGTCTTCTAACTAGCGACTTAGATGGTTCAAGCGTTATAGTGCTCAAGTTGTTCACTGTAGAGCGAAAATTCAAGATCTGGATATAACAAAAACCATTAACAGAACAGAATTCATATGAATGAGAACACATTTATTTATACATACATAACATTGACAAAAGTATACAAAATATTACAAATGTAAAGAAGAATTATACTGGTCAAATAAATAATACATAGATGAAACAACTATTTTCCATAAACATACAAAAAGAAAAAAACAAAAAATAATCAAATAAATCTATATGAACTAGAAATTAAGCCCAAGCTCTAAGAATTGCCCGTCTTGTGGCTAAACGACATGATACGATGGAAGCAATTATCATTCCTAATGTGACAGTAGCTATTGCAGTATAGTCGAAATCTTCTTTAAGTAAATCATATGTTTGTGAAGGTGATATTCGAGTGAAAAACAAATCTGAAATATGAGAAAGAAAACAATATTGAATAAGGGAGTTCAAATTGAGAAGTTTCCCAACATCATCGTCACCGTCATGTTATAATGAAGAAAAAATAGACAAGTTTTGTATAAGAATAATCATCGATGGTTGCCAGTAGTCTACAGTGAGGCTAAGTTTTGAACGATAGGTGGGATTTAAGGTAAACTTATAGAAAGATCTTGTACAATGTTCCAGTCAGAATTTCAAAAGATTATATAGGTAAGGTGGGATGAGGAATGCAAATTTGTATGTAATTCGTATCCTGTTGAATTTTTTCAACCAACATACACAAGTTAACGTTGTGTTAATTTAAAACACACTAACGTACCACTACTAGTATTCAGTCAGTCAGTCAGCTAAAACGTAGGATCAGGTACATATATACATCGGTCAAAGTTGCCGCACTTCATTAGCACAAGATGATCATCAAATTCATAGAAGTGGTTACTTCAATGGTAGTAAAAATTGAGTATGAGGATATGATACAGAGTAAGAGAACTGGTTCGCAGAAAGAAAAGTATGAAGTAATTTTAATCTCACAGTTAGTTTAAGGACAGACAAACAAAGTATACACCTACATCATTGTGACCGATTCTGATCCATGTCACCCGGATCTCCAACCATTGACTAAGATAGTAGCGCGGACACCAAACTAGTAGTCTGTATCTACCAACATGGCTCAGACCAGAAGTTAGTGACTTTATGAACTGATGCCATGTTTTGGCCTGGCTGCCACTAACTTTCTTTTATTCGCCTTTAACACTAAACCTCATTGCGCGCCGTGGTAGTTGGGCATGCGTAATATGTGGCAAAGCCATCTCAGTCGATGTACCTACCTATATCAGTAGTAATAAGATTAAAGACATGCTAACGAAACTCATTCACACAAGAGATTAGACCTGATTCATTACAAGCAACCTGTTCACATCAAGTGTCACTCTACAAATTCAACAGTTTAATTATATAGCTAAAACAAAATTAAACGTTTTCAATTAGTATAAAATTGGAAGGAAAACACTTACAAAAAAGCTACCGA